TGCATTAGATGACCTGTTCTCCACAATCCCCCGACCTCAACCAAATTGAGATGGTTTGGGATGAGTTGGACCGCAGAGTGAAGGAAAAGCAGCCAACAAGTGCTCAGCATATGTGGGAACTCCTTCAAGACTGTTGGAAAAGCATTCTAGGTGAAGCTGGTTGAGAGAATGCCAAGAGTGTGCAAAGCTGTCGTCAAGGCAAAGGGTGGGTATTTGAAGATTCTCAAATATAAAATTACTTTGATTTGTTTAACACTTTTTTGTTTAATACATGATTCCATATGTGTTATTTCATAGTTTTGATGTCTTCACTATTATTCTACAATGTAAAAAATAGTCAAAATAAAGAAAAACCCTTGTCCAAAATGTTGACTGGCGGTGTATCATGGTCTCAAGGAATATGAATTAACAGGTTATAGAGCAAACAACGTAATTATCACAACACATAGGTTGTAATATGGCTTTTTTTTTGTGGGGGGGGGCTTCTCCAGTAATTTTACCCACACACCGCTACTGCTGGCAGTGTGGTGCCAGGACAACAACCTATCCCTCAACGTCAGCAAGACAAAGGAGCTTATCGTGGACTACAGGAAACAGAGGGCCGAGTATGTCCCCCTTTTACCTCGATGGGGCTGTAGTGGAGCGGGTCAAGAGCTTCAAGTTCCTCTGTGTCCATGTCACTAAGGATCTATGATGGTCCACACACACCAACACAGTTGTCTTCTTAATCTTAACAGCTTCTACCCCCAAGCCATAAGACTCCTGAACAGCTAATCAAATGGCTACCCAGACTATTTGCATTGTTTCCCCCCCCCCCCCTCCTCTTTTACACTGCTGCTACTCTCTGTTTATTATCTATGCATAGTCACTTTACCTCTACCTACATGTACATATTACTTCAATTACCTCGACTAACCTGTGCCCCCGCACATTGACTCTGTACCGGTACCCCCTGTATATAGCCTCGCTACTGTTATTTTACTGCTGCTCTTTAATTATTTTTATTTTGTACTTATCTAGTTTTTTACTAAACACTTATTTTTCTTAAAACTGCATTGTTTATTAAGGGCTTGTAAGTAAGCAAGCATATCACCTGTTGTATTCGGCGCATGTGACAAATACAATTTAATTTGATTTTGATTTGAAGAGGGCACGACAATGCCTCTTCAGCCTCAGGAGGCTGAAAATATTTGGCAGGGGCCCTCAGATCATAAAAAAGTTATTCAGCTGCACCATTGAGAGCATCTTGACTGGCTGCATTACCACTAGGTATGGCAACTGATTGGCATCCGACCGCAAGGCGCTACAGTAGGTAGTGTGTACGGCCCAGTACATCAGCTCCCTGCCTTCCAGGACCTCTACACCAGGCGGTGTCAGAGGAAGGCCCTAAAAATTGTCAAAGACTACAGCCACCCAAGTCATAGACTGTTCTCTCTGCTACCACGCGGCAAGCGGTACCGATGCACCAAGTCTGGAACCAACAGGTCCCTGAACAGCGTCTACCCCTAAGCCATAACACTGATAAATAGTTAGTTAAATTGTTAAAGATGCACTATGCAGAAATCGCTCCGCCTGCTAAAATTCTAATAGTTCACCTGTTTTCAGTTTATGTGACAGAACAAGCAAGTATAGTGTAGAGAATCAGCTGTGAACAATATTTTACATAACCAAAAATATTGTATTTTCAGCTGTTTGAAGCTGGTGTGCAAAACCCAAAGTAAAAGATGCAAAAATGAACCTTAAAAAGAAGAAGCATAAAAATAGGGCACATAGAACAGATCTACGGCTTCTTAGATTTGCTTTCAATGAGGATGGGTGATTTATAACTCATATTTCTGTGCATGTTTTGGGGTCGCCCAAAAAGTTAGGCTACATATTGCTGCTTTAACCAAATAGCTAACCTGGACTATCTGCATTTTATTTTTGACTCATCACATACCGCTGCTGCTGCTGTTTATTATTTGTCACTGTATTACTAGTTATATGTACATATCTAATCTATCTCAATTACCTCATACCCCTGGTTAACTCTGGTACCGCGTGTATATAGCCAAGTTTTCGTTAATTTACATTTACATTTTAGTCATTTAGCAGACGCTCTTATCCAGAGCGACTTACAGTTAGTGAGTGCATACATTTTCATACTGGCCCCCCGTGGGAATCAAACCCACAACCCTGGCGTTGCAAACGCCATGCTCTACCAACTGAGCTACATCCCTGCCGGCCATTCCCTCCCCTACCCTGGACGACGCTAGGCCAATTGTGCGTCGCCCCATGGTGTATTTATTATTACATGGTTTATTATTACATGTTTTACTTTTGTATTATTTTTCTATTTTCTTTCTCTCTGCATTGTAGGGAAGGGTCCATAAGTAACCATTTCACTGTTAGTCTACACCTGTTATTTACGAAGCATGTGAGGAATAAAGTGTGATTGATTTGATGTCTCTTCCGTGAACAGCATTCTCTGTACAGGGGCGAAATCGCATTTCAAAAGTGAAACATTGTCCCGGAGGTCGGACAGGCAGACAGCAAGGTTTATATAAACCATCACTGTTGCAAATAAAATACTTGGCTAGAAGCAAGAGGGACTAATGTGTTAATAAATGCAGAGAAAAAATCGCAGAGATAGAATGTTTGCCGGTCGCATGTTGTGTTTGTCCCTTGTGTTGGTCTGTTAACCCAGGACAGTGGAAAGAATACAAGTGTGAATTCTTAGCCCAGAGCTAAAGCTTAGCCCAGGGTTAACAAATGCTTGTGTGAATATCCCTAGAGTCTTTAACATCATAATGCTTGTCATTGTAATTGCAGTAGGTCTGCAACAGGCTACTATCGTAGCAACAATGCTACTGCTATGTATGTCACTATCAACTATCAGGTGCAAGAATGGAGGATATCTAACATGATTTCATACTAATGCAAGCCGTAATATATATTTCCTCAACGTTGTGAACCTTGAAAAAGCAAAACATTGATATCCATTACCAACTCCCTCCATGGTATAAGACTCTTGTACTCTCTACAAAAAGCTGCCCAAGGCTATTGCCACCCACTGCCTTGAGTACAACCAGCTGATAATGCTCATGCATATGACTGTTAAAGAAAGCACATTTGTACAGGGATGACGGACCATTTCTGTTCTCAAGGGCTATGTCCTTGTGTAATTGTATTCTTTCTTCTTTTAAATGGCCTAAATAATATTTATTTGAATATGGTTTAATGCTGTCTGTGTGTGTGTGTGTGTGTGTGTGTGTGTGTGTGTGTGTACTTGCGCACTTGTGTATTACCATTCTCAGCATCTGGGAATGGAAGCATGGCTCCCCAGTTTCCATCAGCAGCTGCCACTGTTAAGGCATTACACAAGCAGGGACGTGGGAGGCAGGCAGGCAGTGGTAATGTGGGGGAAGCTGCTATAGCTGCCTAACAATAAACTCACACCTCCTCAATCTATAATCAGGAACAGGCTCTAGGCATCTGCTCTAGAACGAGATTTCGCTTTAGTCGAGAGACACTTAGTCAAAAGGTGTTTTGCAGATAATACATAATGTGTCTGCAAGAATCACAGTTTAGTGTTGAAATACAAGGCTGTTTGTGCAAATATGCAGCGTTTAATTGCTGGACTTTGACTGTTTTATTATATGAATATATAAGATAGAAAAATCGTTGCTGTTTATATGGATGATTCTTTGTAAAACACTAAGAGAAATAGCAACATTTGTTGCATGGCAATAAAGTTTTCTGAATCTGACTCCGAGTTCTGGTCAGTGTAATGCTAAACATATGATAAAGGAGGATACTCAATACAGTATGTGTAGCCAATCAATCATAAAGATTTAATATTTAGAAATTACAGTGCATTAAAATTGCAATACACGAGAAACTTTTGAGGAGATTCCTTAATCTTTAGTGAATCTTGGCGGTAATGACAAGATGACACCGAGTCGCCTAGGTGATTTATCTTCACAACCTCCACATGCGTAAAAGCCGCAATTATTGTACGGCGATCCAAGTGCTCATTACGCATAAGGATACTTTAGGGAAATAAACTAAACACCTGTAGGCGATTAGATTTCCAAACTTTGCAATGAATATGCAAATTAGATCATTCATAAATGTTCAAATTTAAGATCGAATGGCACACCTGGGAGAGTGTCAAGTCATTCATATAATTTAGGAAAATTACGCACAGTTTCGATTCATTTTGCCCCAAATTATTTAAGGCCTTTCTTGTGTTAATTACGAAAGTAGGTTAGCTAGAACTTGTCTTCAAGGTCATGGCTTATATAAAGTAGGCTAGATACAGTATGGGGGGGGGAATCATGCTGCAAAGGTACAGACACTTGCGTGCTCATAAGAATTGCCATGCACGGTGGGGAATCCTGCGAAAGTCGAGAAGAACGGCAATTGGTCCGCTATATACAGTATCTCTCTATATTCTGCCGGAAAATCTGTTGTGAAGGTGAAGAGAGGCAACTGGCGCGTGGGAGGCACCGATTTATATCGTCTGATCACGACCCGGTTCTTGGACAACTGGTGCTTGACTGCCTGTAAAACCTAAATGAACAGCTCCAACTCAATAGTCAAGTTCAACTTTTGACATGGGAACGTAGCCAAGTCAAACGGAGGATAGCGCATCCTTCTCCGAATATAAATATCACTGATGGGGCTTCTGGAAAAGAAATGCCAATGCAAAGGAGATTTCAAGCCAAGGACTTGTGAGATATGTTGATAGATGTGGCAAACGACTGTTGAGGGGAAGCGGAGTATGAGGATTTATTTTCCTAACGTGGACTACTGTCATTTTGGTCTCGTTTGCTTGCATCATAGGCATATGTTGCAGTGCGCAAGAGGAGAGAGGAAGGTTAATTCGGGGTGCAATTGATGCCCAAGTGCCTCTATAGGAACCACCTGTAACTTTTACAGAATGGATACCTGTCGTTTTTATAGATGTGAAACAAACGTTTTAGATAAGCATGGTAACTTTTTAGGGGGGTAACAATAAATTGGAATTTAGCCTAAAATATTAAATATTTCTGATATTAAATGTTTGCATCATTTATTATAGTCAATCTAGGGAAAACAATTCTAGCTCATTGAAAGAGAGCTACTAAGTTTATTTTATATAAGATTTTTCCCTCCCTGGGTTGAAGAAATCTCGTTGGCTCATATGGGACTGAGGCACTCGCGTTGCCTGCTCCTTCGGAGAAAAATGGCGGAGCCGGACAATTCTGAGGTATGTCAGTTTGCTGGTAAATGATCCAAGGAGTGACATATGCTGGTCAAAATCTTTCGTTATATTGATATAATCGATAATAATAAATTAATGATGGTACTGTTTATTTATTTTGTATTGTCTTTGTCAGTTTTGAAGTAATCAAGATTGTATCGACTACTGGTGTCTGTAAAAAGCAATGCAGACACATGCTACGTTTAGTTGTTTTTGTAAATTGATATGGCATATATCCCGTTAAAATATTACAGTTGCAAAGATATGCGATGTGTAAATGATCTGTAGTGGTTAATGGGTGCGCTGTCCTTGGTGCTGATTCCACTATCCGTTCAGCACAATATGTAGCATGGACTCCTGCTGATCTGAAAACGGGTAGATGCGTAATATGATGTAATCTAGCCTACCAAGTGACCTCTAATGCATTCTAAGTACTTCACTGTATTTGTAAATAGCACATTTTGCCATTTAACAAATTGTTTTGCATCAACGTGCACTGTATTGAAAGTGATTTCTTACAGCAAACAGATCCAGTTATGTTGCTCTTCTCTGACAATGTTCAAATGTCCTACTCTCTTCAAATACACCTGCACTCAATTTTGTCTGTCCATCTCTCTCTCTCTCTCTCTCTCTCTCTCTCTCTCTCTCTCTCTCTCTCTCTCTCTCTCTCTCTCTCTCTCTCTCTCTCTCTCTCTCTCTCTCTCTCTCTGTCTTTATTTGCTCTATCCCTACCTTTCTCTCTATCTTTATATTCCCTATTTCTCTCTGCCTCACCCCCTCCTCTCTCTTAGCAGCAGCGTACCATCACTGCCCCCCAGTCCCAGTCCTTTCAGCCCTCCTCCTTGCCCAAACCTGTGCCTACCGTCCACCATCTGCCACACCCTCCACATACACCCCATGTAGCGGCCCTGCCCACCTGCCCCGGGCGTGGCAAGATGGCAAAGCTGCTCAACCCGGAGGAAATGACATCACAGGACTACTACTTTGACTCCTACGCCCACTTTGGCATCCATGAGGTAGGTAGGGGTCTCATCCATGAAGTAGGTAGGTAGGAAGGTAGGTAGGGGACTCATCCATGAGGTAGGTAGGGGACTCACCCATGAGGTAGGTAGTTAGGTAGGAGACTCATCCATGAGGTAGGTAGGTAGGGGACTCATCCATGAGGTAGGTAGGTAGGGGACTCATCCATGAGGTAGGTAGGTAGGAGACTCATCCATGAGGTAGGTAGGTAGGAAAGTCATCCATGAGGTAGGTAGGTAGGAGACTCATCCATGAGGTAGGTAGGTAGGAGACTCATCCATGAGGTAGGTAGGTAGGTAGGAGACTCATCCATGAGGTAGATATAGTGCCTTCAGAAAGTATTCACACACTTTACCTTTTCCACATCTTGTTGTGTTACAAAGTGGGATTAAATGGATTTAATTGTTGTTGTTTTTTGTCAAGAATCCACACAAAATCATCTGTAATGTGAAGGTGGAAGAAAAATGCATTTGTAAAAAAAAGTTATGAAAAATAAAACACTAATATATCTTGATTAGATAAGTATTCAACCCCTTGAGTCAATACATGTTAGAATCACCTTTCGCAGCAATTACAGCTGTGAGTCTTTCTGGGTAAGACTCGAAGCGCTTTGCACACCTGGATTGTACAACATTTGCACATTATTCTTAAAAAAATTATTCAAGCTCTGTCAAGTTGGTTATTGATCATTGCTACACAGCCATTTTCAAGTCTTGCCATAGAATTTCAAGCCGATTTAAGTCAAAACTGTAACTAGGCAACTCAGGAACATTCATTGTCGTCTTGGTAAGCAGCTCCAGTGTATATTTGGCCTTGTGTTTTAGGTTATTGTCCTGCTGAAAGGTGAATTTGTCTCCCAGTGTCTTGGAAAGCAGACTGAAACAGGTTTCCTTTAGGATTTTGCCTGTGCTTAGCTCTATTCCGTTTCTTTTTATCATAAAAAAAACTCCCCAGTCCTTGCCGATGACAAGCATACCCATAACATCATGCATGCTTGAAAATATGAGGAGTGGTACTTAGTGATATGTTGTGTTGGATTTGCCCCAAACATAACGCTTTGTATTCAGGACATAAAGTTAATTTCTTTGCCACATTTTTTGAAAATTTACTTTAGTGCCTTATTGCAAACAGGATGCATATTTTGGAATATAGTAACACAACAGAATGTGGAAAAAGTCTATTGAAGTGTCAGACTCATACCCTAGATAGTGATCTATTGAAGTGTCAGACTCATACCCCAGATAGTGATCTATTGAAGTGTCAGACTCATACCTCAGATAGTGATCTATTGAAGTGTCAGACTCATACCCCAGATAGTGATCTATTGAAGTGTCAGACTCATACCCCAGATAGTGATCTATTGAAGTGTCAGACTCATACCCCAGATAGTGATCTATGGTCTAGGTAGCCTAAAACTAAGAAGAGAGAAAGGGAACAACCTAAAATGTGTTTCTGTCGAGGTCCTTATTTAGCATGTGGGTCAGGTTACTGTCTGAATGCAAAGCAGACCCAAGAACAGAACTGCCCCCGATAAAATGTGTGAGTGTGCGTGTGTGTGTGTGTGTGAATGGGTTTAGAGAGATGGGTATCAGATAATCCCAGCAGGGTTTCGTTATAGACCTACCTCTATTTAAATAGCCTGTGCCAGCAATGCGGCCTAAATGCTGCCTCTGTCACTATGATCATTTTCTATTAATAGAAATCCAGAAGCTGTCATTTATACATGTTTAGAAGACATGCACTACGTCCCAAATGGCACCCTATACTCTATGTAGGGCACTTCTTTTGACCAGGGCCCATAGGGCTCTGGTGAAAAGTAGTGCACTATACAGTAAATGGGGACATTTGGGACACATCCATGTACTGTACCACCCACTTCTGAAACGTTCAGTGTAGCATATTCATTACATACTGTATGAGGACAATCATTTACACACTCTCCACACTCTGTTGAATCTCTCTTAGCTCGATATTAACCCAATGAGTCCCACTGTATTGCCAGTGCGTTTGGGACTTCTAACCCATTTTTAACATAGTGTGTTTGCGTTACAGACTTAAAGTTTGTACCATTAGATTTGTCTATTTATTCTGCATCCGTAGACACCATTAGTCTGTGTGATTAATGGGGGCTGCGCTAGAGCGGTGTTTTTGAGACAAGGGCGGATCCCGAAGGGGTCTGGGGCCGGGTCTTTTATACAAAAACGTATTTAGAGTCAGAATTGTTTGAGCCACAAACTATTAAAACCTATCTATGAAAATACTGTATGTTTTGCTCTATGACATTCACAAGCCCCACAAGAGTTGTTAGAAGTTAAGGGGTTCTTCTACATAGAAGATCATAGGAAATCCCAGGACATAGTGTCTACATTACTGTAATAAGCTGACATAGTTGCTGTCACAAACTCCAAACTCCACACAGTTGTCACTGATATATATAATTGCGGACCTTATTTTTCTAATTTGTCAATAAAACTCATGAATGCAACTGTTTATGTCAAATTGTTTTGTGTTCTACATTTAGCCCTGGTTGTCCTGAAAACAAAATGGTAAAACACTTAATTGTGAGGCTAAATATAAGGGCTGGATAAATTAAAGTCAGATGAATGAAAAGCCGATTTTTGCTGGGATCTCGGGACTAATAGGGTTAAGTATTTTTTAGCTTGACGTCCTCTGTGTAGCATAGTATCATGTTTTTCCTGACCCCATGACCTGACCAGGTAAAACTCCTGGACCCATTCATAGTCGCCGAGCTATAAAGTCTTGCACATTCTGCAAATCCTAACTTCCACATAAGTCAAATATTCACTTAGTCTCCCATTGACACCAATGCATGACTAATGGCTGTATCTTCAGGCGATACTTCTGCAATATCGATTGAATCCAACCCTGAGTGAAAATTTGACTTAAAGAAAAGTTATGATTCACCTCTCTGTGAGATTCCCAATCCCATCAACATTCCCATGTTGTTCCCTGTTGTACAGGAGATGCTGAAGGATGAAGTGCGGACCCTGACCTATAGGAATGCCATGTACCACAACAAGCACATGTTCAAGGACAAGATAGTTCTGGACGTGGGCAGTGGGACAGGCATCCTGTCCATGTTCGCTGCCAACGCGGGCGCCAGGCACGTGTACGGGGTGAGAGTCCTTCTCCTGCTTTAAACACCAAACACCTTTTCACACTGCAAAGCTGAGCCGAGCCAAGCTGTACTGAGCCATGTTCAGATGCCAAACGTTGTCGACAGTTGCAGATAGACATTTCATGAATAGAGCTGATGTGATTCCGTATTCTACATGTCAGAGAGGCATGTTCGTTCTACATAACCTATTTCTATAAGAACGTTCCAAAATGTTGCGTCCTGCTGAATGCGCCCCTGGCGATACATTTATTTAACAGATGCCTGTTTCACACTACAGGGCCGACCTGAACCCTGCTGGTTTTTATATTTTCATTTCACATTGTCCTTTTCCAGCGTGGTTTAAGCAGCTATGGTGGATGCGTAGCCAGGCCAGCCCAGATTGGCATGGCTTGGCTCGGTTTGGCCCTGTAGTGTGAACCAGGCTGAGGAAGAAAAGGACTTGATGGTTGATATTCAACTGTCGTACAGTCGTCTGATCTGTCTGTTGAGTTGAAGTGGTGGGTGTATCACATCTCTCCCTCACTGACACTTGCTCAGCCGCACGCACGCACGCATGCACACACGCACACACGTACACGCGCACGCACACGCACACACACACACACACACACACACACACACACACACACACACACACACACACACACACACACACACACACCAGGACCCTGCCCCTGGTTCATGGTGTAAATTGTCATAACACTCTACTCTACCGTCATTAGCATCTTGGTTAACCCTTCTGAGATCCTGCCATGTAACTACACCAGCATCGCCTCTGTAATGCTAACAAGCTAACACACATCAGAGGCACATCTCCAGGCTGGATCGCTAATGCAGAAGATCACAGAGTCCCAATGTCACGATCGTCGTAATGAACAGACCAAGGCGCAGCGTGATGAACGAACATGTTTAACTTTATTATCTTTAGTGATAATAGAACACAATCAACAAAACAAGAAACGACTCGTGAAGTCCACGGTAACAATGACCGAAGACGGAACAAGAACCCACAAACACAAAGGAAAAATAGACAGTATAAATATGGCTACCAATCAGAGACAACCAACGACAGCTGACACTCGTTGCCTCTGATTGGGAGTCACTCTAGCCAACATAGAAATAAACACAACAGAATTACCAACATAGAATTAAACACATAGAATGAACACACCCTGGCTCAACATATAGAGTCCCAGAGCCAGGGTGTGACAGTACCCCCCCCTAAAGGCGCGGACTGCGACCGCGCCTCAACTTGAACAAAACAGGGGAGGGCTGGGCGGGCATACCTCCTCGGCGGCGGTTCTGGCTCCGGCCTTGACCACCACCCTCCAATAAACCCCCCCATAGCGCCCCTGGTCCAGTCTGGCCCCGCCGGCTGGAGCTGAACTGGACGTAGCAGGAGCGGTTAGCTTCAGCTCCATAGTGGAGCAGTTGACCGGTACCTTACCAGGCACCGGTGACCCAGGCACGGGTTGTGCTGGACTGACGACGCGCACCCCTGGCTTGGTGCGTGGAGGAGGAACGGGCCTTACCAGGCTGACGACTCGCACCCCTGGCTTAGTGCGTGGAGGAGGAACGGGCCTTACCAGGCTGACGACTCGCACCCCTGGCTTGGTGCGTGGAGGAGGGACGGGCCTTACCAGGCTGACGTCTCACACCCCTGGCTTAGTGCGAGTAGCAGGAACAGGCCTTACCAGGCTGACGTCTCGCACCCCTGGCTTAGTGCGAGTAGCAGGAACAGGCCGGGCCGGGCTGGCGACGCACACCGTAGGCTTGGTGCGTGGAGCAGGAACAGGCCGGGCCGGGCTGGCGACGCACACCGTAGGCTTGGTGCGTAGAGCAGGGACAGGCCGGACTGGGCTGGCGACGCACACCGTAGGCTTGGTGCGTAGAGCAGGGACAGGCCGGGCTGGGCTGGCGACGCACACCGTAGGCTTGGTGCGTAGAGCAGGGACAGGCCGGACTGGGCTGGCGACGCACACCGTAGGCTTGGTGCGTAGAGCAGGGACAGGCCGGGCTGGGCTGGCGACGCACACCGTAGGCTTGGTGCGTAGAGCAGGGACAGGCCGGACCGGGCTGGCGATGCACACTGTAGGCTTGGTGCGTGGAGCAGGGACAGGCCGAACCGGGCTGTGGAGACGGATAGGAGACCTGGAGTGAAGAGCGGCCACAACCCGTCCTGGCTGAATGCCTACCCTCACACACTCTGTGTGAGGCATCCGCACAGGACGTACAGGGCGGTGTATCCGTAACCTGGTGGCCTTCTGAATCCGCCCCTTTTCTGCCTCCGTCAGCCCCGTCGTCCATGCCGTGTGCCCCCCCCTAAAAAATTTCTGGGGTTGCCTCTCGCCTGTCCGACGTTGACCCGTTTGGCGCCGCTGCTCCTCTCTACGGCGCGCCTCCACCGTCTCTTCTCCCGACGCTTCCTCCCATGTCCAGCCCAAGAACTGCCCCTGGACACGCTGCTTGGTCGTTGCATGGTGGGTTCTTCTGTCACGATCATCGTAATGAACAGACCAAGGCGCAGCGTGATGAACGAACATGTTTAACTTTATTATCTTTAGTGATAATAGAACACAATCAACAAAACAAGAAACGACTCGTGAAGTCCACGGTAACAATGACCGAACACGGAACAAGAACCCACAAACACAAAGGAAAAATAGACAGTATAAATATGGCTCCCAATCAGAGACAACCAACGACAGCTGACACTCGTTGCCTCTGATTGGGAGTCACTCTAGCCAACATAGAAATAAACACAACAGAATTACCAACATAGAATTAAACACATAGAATGAACACACCCTGGCTCAACATATAGAGTCCCAGAGCCAGGGTGTGACACCCAAATGGCACCTTATTCCCTATATAGCGCACTACTTTTGACAAGGGACCATAGGGCTCTGGTCAAAAGTAGTGCACTATAGTGAATAGGTCGGGTGTCATTTGGGAGAACTGCGATTCCCACAGGGCACGGCTTGAAGTCTCATTCACAGGAAATACATTATCAGCCCTCACATTTCCCTCACCATATTAATCATATATAACACTCATTGATGAGAGAGGAAAATGGTACATGAATAATGATCTTGATAAAGTGGAGATTGGATCTAGGATGAGTGGTAAAGCAGCAATGATTGCAGTGGGTGCCCTTGTGTGTGTGAGTGTATGTGTGTGTGTGTGTCCGTACCTGTAGAACTAATGTCAGACCTAACATTCATCAACGAGTATGTAGGTGATGTGCACAGCATTTCTCCGCTGAATAAAGCACAGGAGCAGTATAAACCTACTGACATTCATCAAACCTGTGTGTTCCCTCTTGTTATGTGCCCCAGATTGAGTGTTCCAGTATATCAGAGTATTCTGAGAAGATCATCAAGTCCAACCACCTACACAATGGTAAGAGATACACTACAAATCAATCATCTATATAGGTTCACACAGGGTAGCCGACATAGCTATATCCTGTCAAAGTTACATGTTACGAGTTAACTAGTCAAGGGACAAAGATTTGGGGAGGATAAACTGATTCTATAACTGTGTCTAAAGGCAACTTGTACCCATAACATGGTACACATAACAGGCTACTCATGTTCTATTGATCATTAGGACTATATGGGCGCAGTGGGGGAGACAGCTGGCTTACTGAGAGATAACATAATATATTAACATTGATAAAGTATCAATGAAAGAGACAGAGAGAGGAGAGAGAGAGAGGGGGAGAGGGAGGGGGGAGAGAGAGAGGGAGGAGAGAGAGAGAGAGAGAGAGAGAGAGATGGAGGAGAGAGAGAGAGACAGAGAGAGGAGAGAGAGAGAGAGGGAGAGAGAGAGAGGGAGGGGGGGGGGGGGGAGAGAGAGAGCTATTCAGACAGACATCTTTACCCTGGACTCTGGTTGGCAGCTCTGTCTGGCAGCTCTGCTCCCAAACAAAACATCCCTAAACTGAGACATCAATCAAAATGAGCTGGATGCCGCTGATCATCACTCTGAAATGTCACCTTGATGGAACTCCACAGATGGAGTTATAATTGAATGACCCAGAGGAGTGTTTAGTGTAGTGTAGTGTTTAGTGGAGCGGAGTGTTTGGTGTAGTGGAGTGTTTGGTGTAGTGGAGTGTTTAGTGTAGTGGAGTGTTTAGTGGAGCGGAGTGTTTGGTGTAGTGGAGTGTTTGGTGTAGTGGAGTGTTTAGTGTAGTGGAGTGTTTAGTGGAGCGGAGTGTTTGGTGTAGTGGAGTGTTTGGTGTAGTGGAGTGTTTAGTGTAGTGGAGTGTTTGGTCTAGTGGAGTGTTTGGTCTAGTGGAGTGTTTGGTCTAGTGGAGTGTTTGGTCTAGTGGAGTGTTTAGTGTAGTGGAGTGTTTGGTCTAGTGGAGTGTTTAGTGTAGTGGAGTGTTTGGTGTAGTGGAGTGTTTAGTGTAGTAGAGTTTTGTGTTGTGAGTGACATTCTGTGTCCTGTCCTTCAGTCATCACCATCTTCAAGGGGAAGGTGGAGGAGGTGGAACTGCCAGTGGAGAAAGTAGACATCATCATCTCAGAGTGGATGGGCTACTGTCTCTTCTACGAGTCTATGCTCAATACGGTCATCTTCGCCAGGGACAAATGGCTAGTAAGTGTGTGTGTTTGTTTTTGTGTATGTGTGTGAGTGAGAGAGAGAGCGAGAGAGAGAGAGTATACAGGTGTATGATCTAAATTTGGTCACTCTTTTGTTGCTGAGAATTTTCCTGGTTATATTATATATTATATTAACAGTATTGCACTTTTCACGTAACTTACTTTTGGCCAGCTATTAGCCTAACCACCAATCAAGCAACATTATGGACTAAACGTTCAAATCCTGTTGCTGCAGGATAATGTTGCTGTGACAATATAGATCAAATTAAGATCCTACACCTTTACATGCGTGCATGTGTGTGTGTGTGTATCCACATACTGACTGGTCCTGCTTATAGCGCCCAGTGAGAGGACGATCTGGTTTCTAACTAGTGTTGCTGCTTCAGGGTTTTAGACTGGGTATGAGCTAACGGTACATACAGGATGCCAGGTGTGCAGACAATGCATGTGACTGTAGGATGCCTCTATTCTCTATGAGGTGTATCTCAACTAAATGTATGTTGTTGTCTCCTCTCACATTCAGAAGCCTGGAGGGCTGATGTTTCCTGACAGGGCTGCCCTGTATGTGGTGGCCATCGAGGACAGGCAGTACAAGGACTTCAAGATACACTGTGAGAACGTCCTTCCATCTCCATTTCTTAGCTACTGTGTGTATACTGTATGTATGCTGGAGGTATCTTACCCTCTCCCTCTTCCAGTGGGCTCTCTCCTCCAGCCTCTGGGTTAGACTACAGAGAGCTGTGTAGAGGAGGGATGGAGGAGAGGGAGAGCCTGTCTGCTCGGTTCTCAAGCCTAGCTGAAGTAGACCTATAATACAGGCTGACAGACATAGTGGAAGAGTATTTAAGGCCCCTGTCTCTCACTAAAGGAACACTAGATAGACATACTAAGGGAGGGTGGAAGGACTGAGACCACGTTTTTGGCAACTGTAGACCTGTGTTATATTTTCCCTGTTCCTGAGGGTTGTTATCGATCCTAGGCGGCAAATAGAGAATAACACAGTTTCATCTCAATCTAAAACTTGAGACACTCTTCCAACCCAACACAGTGCCAGTAACATAGTGTTCAATGTCCACCACTTAGAGAGAGAGAGTCTGTGTGATGACCACCACTGGAGAGAGAGAGTCTGTGTGATGACCACCACTGAGAGAGAGAGAGTCTGTGTGATGACCACCACTGAGAGAGAGAGAGTCTGTGTGATGACCACCACTGAGAGAGAGAGAGTCTGTGTGATGACCACCACTGAGAGAGAGAGAGAGGTCTGTGTGATGACCACCACTGAGAGAGAGAGAGAGAGAGAGAGAGAGTGAGTATGTGTGATGACCACCACTGAGAGGAGAGAGAGAGAGAGAGAGTATGTGTGATGACCACCACTGAGAGAGAGAGAGTCTGTGTGATGACCACCACTGAGAGAGAGAGTCTGTGTGATGACCACCACTGAGAGAGAGAGGTCTGTGTGATGACCACCACTGAGAGAGAGAGAGAGTCTGTGTGATGACCACCACTGAGAGAGAGAGAGGAGAGGTCTGTGTGATGACCACCACTGAGAGAGAGAGAGTCTGTGTGTTGACCACCACTGAGAGAGAGAGTCTGTGTGATGACCACCACTGAGAGAGAGAGAGCGAGTCTGTGTCATGACCACCACTGAGAGAGAGAGAGAGTCTGTGTGATGACCACCACTGAGAGAGAGAGAGAGAGAGTCTGTGTGATGACCACCACTGAGAGAGAGAGAGAGAGTCTGTGTGAAGACCACCACTGAGAGAGAGAGAGAGAGTCTGTGTGATGACCACCACTGAGAGAGAGAGAGTCTGTGTGATGACCACCACTGAGAGAGAGAGAGAGTCTGTGTGATGACCACCACCGAGAGAGAGAGAGAGAGAGCGAGAGAGAGTCTGTGTGATGACCACCACTGAGAGAGAGTCTGTGTGTTGACCACCACTGAGAGAGAGAGTCTGTGTGATGACCACCACTGAGAGAGCGAGTCTGTGTCATGACCACCACTGAGAGAGAGAGAGAGTCTGGTGATGACCACCACTGAGGAGAGAGAGAGAGAGTCTGTGTGATGACCACCACTGAGAGAGAGAGTCTGTGTGATGACCACCACTGAGAGAGAGAGAGAGTCTGTGTGATGACCACCACCGAGAGAGAGAGAGAGTCTGTGTGATGACCACCACTGAGAGAGAGAGTCTGTGTGATGACCACCACTGAGAGAGAGAGTCTGTGTGATGACCACCACTGAGAGAGAGAGAGAGTCTGTGTGATGACCACCACAGAGAGAGAGAGAGAGTCGTGTGATGACCACCACTGAGAGAGAGAGTCTGTGTGATGACACCACTGGGGAGAGAGAGAGAGTCTGTGTGATGACCACCACTGAGAGAGAGAGTCTGTGTGATGACACCACTGAGAGAGAGAGAGGTCTGTGTGATGACCACCACGAGAGAGAGAGAGAGAGGAGCGAGAGAGAGTCTGTGTGATGACCACCACTGAGAGAGAGTCTGTGTGTTGACCACCACTGAGAGAGAGAGTCTGTGTGATGACCACCACTGAGAGAGCGAGTCTGTGTCATGACCACCACTGAGAGAGAGAGAGAGTCTGTGTGATGACCACCACTGAGAGAGAGAGAGAGAGTCTGTGTGATGACCACCACTGAGAGAGAGAGTCTGTGTGATGACCACCACTGAGAGAGAGAGAGAGTCTGTGTGATGACCACCACCGAGAGGAGAGAGAGAGAGTCTGTGTGATGACCACCACTGAGAGAGAGAGGTGTGTGTGATGACCACCACTGAGAGAGAGTCTGTGTGATGACCACCACTGAGAGAGAGAGTCTGTGTGATGACCACCACTGAGAGAGAGTCTGTGTGATGACCACCACTGAGAGAGAGAGTCTGTGTGATGACCACCACTGAGAGAAAGAGTCTGTGTGATGACCACCACTGAGGGAGAGAGTCTGTGTGATGACCACCACTTCAGACAAAGAGTGTACCAGATTTACTCATATCTGAGTGTGTGTGTGTGTGTGTCCAGGGTGGGAGAACGTGTACGGTTTTGACATGACCTGCATCCGTAACGTGGCCATGAGAGAGCCCCTGGTGGACGTGGTGGACCCCAAACAGGTGGTGACCAACTCCTGCCTAGTCAAGGTTAGTGTGTGTGTGTGTCTGTCCACAATGAGCACCACTTGAGGCACAGAGTGTACAAGTCATGAGTGAATGTACTCATCTGATAAACAGGGATGCCATTGTAATATAGATATTCTGTTATGAGACACTGGCCAACCTTCCCACAATTCACAGCCAGTTCCAAAAAGGGCGGCAGGTAGCCTAGCGGTTAGAGCGTTGTGCTAGTAACCGAAAGGTTGGTAGTTTGAATCCCTGAGCCAACAAGGTGAAAAATCGGTCGATGTGCCCTTGAGCAAGGCACTTAACCCTAATTACTCCAGGGTCGCCGTTGATAATGGCTGGCCGTGACCCCACTCTCATGGGGAGTTGGGATATGCAAAGAAATATTTTCCAATTTGCATAATATACACACTTGTTATTATTTATTGCATTCAAAATCCAAGTGTCACCAAGAATTATGATGAGCCCAAAATGGGTTCCGTGTCCCTGTCTGTGATTTGCATGTTAATGAATGTGTCTAGACTGTACAGATTTCACAGTGTGACCCATGCCAGCCACCGTACCTGGGCCATAAATAGGCCTGGCACTCCCGGGTCTGTGTGACAGATTGGGATTTAACACTGATGTCCTGTCCAATGACGGCCTGTCTGTTTGTCCAATGTCACAACAATCATCCAAAAGAGAGAAAATTATGAGGAGAATATATCCTCCATTTCAGTTTGTGACGCATGATATGAGATGCTGTGTGAATTATCTTGAGGAGGAAAGTATTTGATGCTGAGAGGTGCAATGCTTTCTAGGGTGTATGAATGAAAGGATGATGGATGAATTGAACAGATTAAGGAATTAAGGAATAAAACAGATGATTGACTCACTGACTGACTGGATTGAATAAATTAATGAATGAATGAACAAGCAAACATATTGGGTGGAATTTAATGAAATAAAGAGTTGAACACAAAAATGGAAGGAGAGCTTAGTCAGGGACAGGGTGTGGATTCCATTTCCAGTTACAAGCCTAAAGTGCTCTAGTGTGACAGAATACATTAGAGCTCCTGACACACAGCAGAGAAATCTATTCACTGACAGGGAAGAAAATACTGCAGACAGAGAGAGAGAGAGAGAGAGAGAGAGAGGGAGAGAGAGAGAGAGAGAGAGAGGGGGAGAGAGAGAGAGAGAGGGGGGGAGGAGAGAGAGGGGGAGAGAGAGAGAGAGAGAGGAGAGAGAGAGCGAGAGAGAGAGAGCAAAAAGCACTGGATCAGAAAGCAAGTCATGGAGCTTCTCAACAATCTAATATCATCCCATAGAAAATTAGGTTAAAGAGGCAGAACAGAGCCAAAGACGTGTGTTTGAGAGACATGTGCATTTGTGTATGTCTGACAGTGCTTCTATGTATGAGAGAGTGATAGATGTAAGGAGAGAGAGAGAGAGAGATTGAGAGAGATATACAGAAATAGAGGAGAAAGGAGAAGTGTGTGTGTGTGAGAGAGATATCTTTCTTCCGATGTATGTCCCCCTGTACCATATTTCCCATGTAACCTATGACCCAGGAAGTGGACATCTACACGGTGAAGCCTGAGGACCTGTCTTTCACCACAGCCTTCTGCCTGCAGATCCAGAGGAACGACTATGTCCACGCCATGGTCACCTACTTCAACATCGAGTTCACCAAGTGTCATAAGAAGACTGGCTTCTCTACCGGTTAGATCTCACCTCACCACGCACATATGGGTTGTGTTCATTTGGCACCAAGAAGCAGAAAACAGACTGAAACAGGAAAGGACTACCTGAACTAGTCCAATAAGAAAGACCTACTTTTGTTTTCCCTTGCAAAAACGTTTTGCTACGGTGTGCACTAATGAACACGACCGCGATGTGACCACATTCACGTACACTAAACGCTAGGTCCTTTGAAATGAGGTGTATGACAATATAGGTTACATGTCTTCCACACAAGCCACTTGTGTTGTTATAAGGTCTCGAACCAGATATTTTACAGGGAGAGAACCACTGTGTTCAGTTTATGGGTCCTGTCCAGGTTATGCAACAATGGAAAGTTGTCATTTCAAACAGACATCAATCATTTTGTGTAAATCAGTCAATTGTAGCACTTGTACAAATAAGTCAGGGTGAAAACCTGTTCTCATACCTGTAGTTGCAGAGATTCTTGGCTCTGTGGCAGTGATCCTTTGGTTTTGTTTGGAAGATTGTGGAAGCACAGCACATTTTTTGCATTCTAATTCTTCAAGGTTTTGACAAGGGCAGGGTGATATTATTGTGAGGTGTAGGTTTGAGGCTGATGATCAAAAGGTACTGCTAGACATAAAAGCATGTAGTAATGGCATCCTTTGCTGTTTCCTATAATGACAAGTTGACTCGGGTTATCTCAGCTCTTGACCCCCCTCTAGTGGTCCTAAGTGAAGCTGCACAGGTAAAAAATACAGACCAATGGTACTTTTTCTGTCTCTCCCTCTCCTGATTATTTCACTCTCCACCATCGCTGTGAAGATCTCAATTGCATACTCTTCGCGTCTCTCCTTCTCAAAACCCATTGGAGGAGAAGGTCAGAGGGGAGGGACCTCTGGCTTTCTTATCCAATGGGTGTTGAGAAGGAGACGAGGAGAGAGGGCACGAGGAGTATGCAATTGAGATCTTCCCTGTCTCTCAATACCGTATTCATTTTCTCCTAATCCTCGCTCCATCTCCGCCTCCTCCTCTCGTTCCCCTCCCCCTCCTATCTCTTGTTCCCCTCCTCCTATTCCTCCCCCTCTCTTCCATCTCCCCCTCCTCTCTCTTGTTCCCCTCCTCCTATTCCCCCCCCCTCTTCCATGGCCAGCTCCTGAAGCCGCCAGTACCCACTGGAAGCAGACAGTGTTTTACCTGGAGGACTACCTGACTGTGAGGAAGGGAGAGGAGATACTGGGCAGCATCGCCGTCAGGCCCAACGAAAAGAACGTGGTGAGAGCAGAGCTACTCTGTACTAGAACTACAGCTCACACCAGGCCAGCATAGAATAAAATGGTGTTTTTAGGGGGGGTTTCTGTAGTCCAGCCAGCGCCTACTGACTATAGATGTCAGGTCTTTAACATGATCTCTGACTATGTCAAGGAGTGAAGCCCTATAGGAGTATTAGCTCAGACACCACAAAGCCACCCTCATGTTGCTGCACCACCCACTGATTTGAACTGTTAACGGTCTACATTTTAGTCATTTAGCAGACGCTCTTAACCAGAGCGACTTACAGTTAGTGAGTGGATACATTTTCATACTCTACAAATGCGTCCACCCTTCTTCCCTTACTTGAAGGCGTCACAGATCGGAGAGGGTTGGATTGGTGAATGTAGTACAGTGGGAAACTTGCCATCACTTATCCAACCTCATATATTTCAGTGGCTACCTTAAAAAGGAGGGTGGAAAGAAGGATTTATTTTCGAAGCATTCAAAAAGGGCTAAATATCCCAACTGTTGTGTCCATCTCAAATACGCTTTTCACACTACTAAGCCAAGCCAAGTTGTACTGTGCTGGCCTGGTTACACATCCATAGTTCTGAAACTGTAGGAGGACAATGTGAGAAGAAAATGCCAGAGGCAGCACCTATGGCTGGGGTCGGCATGATACTGTCAAATGGTTATAGGTGGACTGAAGTCTTCTCTTGTATTCCAGCGGGACCTGGAGTTCACCTTTGAGTTGGACTTTAAAGGACAGCTGTGCGATGCGGCCATTTCCCACGACTACAAGATGCGTTAGTTGACCAGCAAAGGTTAATATCACCCTCCTCAGCCCCCTATTGGACACATCTTGAGCGAGGGAGGGCACAGGATCTCCAACAGGCCCTCCTATTGGCCCGAGGGGGACACGATATGCATCTGATTGGATGACAGTGTTCCAGCACCTAAGTGACGTCATAAGAACAAGCCATTTCGAAGCAATAGCGCCATCACCTGCCACATTTTTAAAGCTGCCCTGAGAATGTAATATCCCTGATGAACTTGATTTTTTATTTTATTCAGGTTGAGTTTTAGTGTTATTAGTACTAGATCTAAATGAGTTAGAGGGATTTTAGATGCTGGTCCAGAGGCACTTTAAACTCAGAGCATGTATTTTATCAAGGACAAGACAGACACTACACCTCTGTTTCACTGATGTCTTTCTAAGTTCAACAAATGCAGAACCTACGAGTTTGTAACAGGAAAGTCATTCAGTGTTTGTCCAAGTTGTTAAGTTAGGTATATTTTCTTGGTATTCAGTACTGGTAAGTTATTTGCATGTTTAGCTTTTTGTTCTTGGTTGATTTCAGGTATCATGATTTGATCATGTGAGATATTCACAATTGCTATGGTGCCAGAATAAGGAAATATTGAACATGTTTAATGATAGAAACCTGTGAGAAATGTCTCTATATGTCTTCCATCTGTGGTGTGGGGGTGTTGAACAAATAAAGAACAATTACTTTGAATTATTGGGAAAAAATCAAATATTTAATTAGATTTCACTTCAGTATTTTGTATTATTTTGTTGTGCTTATGGTGTGACAGACTAATGAACATTAACTTAATCAAGCTCTTATTTACATAAATTCTTTTGTAATTGACAAAATGTACCATTACTTCTACAGTAGAACACATTTCTTCTACTCATAACAGTCAGGAGGTCCAAATAACAAAACTGAAAAATTGTTGTAATGTAGACTAGAGCTAAATCAAACTATCCATCCAGTTCCTTCACTTGTTATCAGGAGTTCTCTCTCTCTGAGTGTCTTTACTTGCAGCAGGCTTTCTTCTTGATAGGCAGAGCCTCCAGTAAGACAACAGTGTCTCTCACCCGATCCTCCTGCTCTTTCAGTACTCTGGACACACAGACAGATGCATTGACATGTCACACACAGTCCCGAAATCAAACCCTAACCCCTACCCTCTGGAGATCAACCCCTAACCCCTACCCTCTGGAGATCAACCCCTAACCCCTACCCTCTGGAGATCAAACCCTAACCCCTACCCTCTGGAGATCAACACCTAACCCCTACCCTCTGGAGATCAACCCCTAACCCCCTGGAGATTTGAGTTCATCTGAAAGGATTCAAAATGGGAATAACAGCCATACAAAACTCCTATTCTAAATGATCAGAGGGCGAGGTGGGAACATTAACATAGCTTATACCAATTAATTCAGATCTCGATACCTAGGGGTTCTCTCTCTCCCTCCCTTACCTGGCCAGGTGGACCATGGCCTCCGTCACGTTGTAGCCGGTGTAAGCACTGACCTCGTAGAATATCACACGGGTGTCCTACAGGAGAGAAGAGACTCAGGTCACTGGTTGTCACTGAGCTACAGTTGTAGGATGTTCATTTGAACCAGGTTGGAAAAGAATCCTGCAGCAACAGGAAAAGTTAATTATTATTTGGATTATAATTAATATAAAAAAAAATTTAGGGGTTGATACCTTTTTTCATCATTTTATTTTACCAGGTAAGTTGACTGAGAACACCTTCTCATTTACAGCCACGACCTGGGGAATAGTTACAGGGGAGAGGAGGTGGGATGAATGAGCCAACTGGAAGCTGGGGATAATTAGGTGGCCATGATGGTATGAGGGCAAGATTGGGAATTTAGCCAGGACACCGGGGTGAACACCCCTACTCTTACGATAAGTGCCATGGGATCTTTAGTGACCACAGAGAGTCAGGACACCCATTTTAATGTCCCATCTGAAAGACAGCACCCTACACAGGGCAATGTCCCCAATCACTGCCCTGGGGCATTGGGATATTTTTTTTAGACCAGAGGAAAGAGTGCCTCCTACTGGCCCTCCAACACCACTTCCAGCAGCATGTGGACTCACATCCAGGGACTGACCAGGACCGACCCTGCTTAGCTACAGAGGCAAGCCAGCAGTAGGATGCAGGGTGGTATGCTGCTGGCAAGTCTGACATTTTACGTGGAAATTACAAACTTTAGAAGCCTTTTTAAACCTTGAATACACTACAAAATTCCTGCAACAGGATGATCAAATTAAGATACGGCATCTGTAGAGGACCTACAGATGGCAATAGTGACAGCTATGCGAGGTCTCATCCATATTTATAGACAGTGAACAGATTTCCCCCCACTCTGTGTGTTGGTTGTTCAGTTCTTGAGATTCATGTCATAGCATGCTATAGGATGACACTTATGACTCCCTAAACTCAATTCCCTAAATGGAGAACTCACATTGGCCAGATTCTCTGCATCTCTGAGTGGTACCTTCCTCTCGGACGTCGCGTCCATCTTGTTGCCCAGGAGCAGGATGGGAATGCCCTCTCCCGCAGCTTCCTGTGAAAACAGGGGTCAATGAAAGGTCAGAGGTCTGCTTAAAACGTTCAGATAGAAATAAACTGTTTAGAACAGACATTATTATTTGTCATGTCCAGCCTGGCCAAATGTCAAAGGTGATCTGACCTGGACGTTGATGAACCAGGGTCGCACAGCCTTGAAGCTGTCCAGCACCGTGACGTCATACATGACCACCACGCCGTCCGCCTTACGGAAGAACTGCTTGGTGATGCTACGGTATCTGTAGCCAACAGAGAAAAGTCACAGCTGGACAAAATGGAACCCTGTTTATTTTGCCAAAGTGCCAAATGCCAACCTGAGAACTTTGCTTTGTTTGTCGTCATCTAAGTCACATTCTCAGACTAGCACCCAGGCCAAAATAACACATTGTTTTCTTAGCTATTGGTGAGGTTTGGCAATACTATTTTCACTGGTCTATGGCCACTCACCTCTCCTGCCCTGCCGTGTCCCACAGCTGCATGGCTACCTGGGTGTTGTCCAACATTAGAGTCTTCACACTGTAATCAACACCTATCAGGAACAGCCCTCAGACCGATTATTACGGTATTAAGAGGAATATACAGCAATAATATACTGTAGCATTACTTCATTTCATGAATGAACACTAGAGGGGGTAGTTGAGCTATTCATCAAGCTTGGTGTTAAGGTAACTGTCTTTCATAATAATAATAATAATAATAATAATAATAATAATAATATGCCATTTAGCAGACGCTTTTATCCAAAGCGACTTACAGTCATGTGTGCATACATTTTTACATATGGGTGGTCCCGGGGATCGAACCCACTACCCTGGCGTTACAAGCGCCATGCTCTACCAATTGAGCTACAGCGGACCACAGTTTCACAGTTCCACTCATATCAAAGCGGTGAAATCAAACAAGCTATCCTATAAGGGGGGAACCAAGGGGATTCAGAGGAGAATTAAATTGATTCGATGTGACATAATCTGCGGCGGTACAATGTGTACCAGGGGTTCACAGACAGGGAGTGTGACTTCACGAGCCCTTTCATGTGATGCCGCTTTGCCCTTTATCTTCTGATAGTTACTCACACTCACATACATAAGAATGTGCACACACACACACACACACACACACACACAGTGAATGCACAAACGACCACTGCCACCATATTAACACACACACACACAAAGGCCTGTGACACCCGTGGTATACAGTAATGTTATGAGGCAGCATGCTGTAGTGAGCAGAAGGTTGAAGTGTGCTGCTGTGTTGTCGGTTCTCACCCACAGTAGGGGAGGTGGAGGGGTGGAAGCGGCCGTCACAGAAGGTGCGCAGCAGGGAAGTCTTGCCAACGCTGGAGTTGCCCACCAGAACCACCTTAAACAGGCGGTCAGGGGCAGGCACCGCCCCCTCCTTCACCCTCTGGAGGGATAGGCAGAGAAAGAGTTATACAGAATGATATTCATTTTCAATTGATTGCATATTGAAGGGCTTCTTTGGCAATGTTGTTGATCGCTCAGATGAGGGGTTCTAGTTTTGACGCTTAACGCAATGACGACAGATCTTATCTTATTAGGTAATGTCCTACTACAGCAGGGTCTTCCACCCCTTGCAGAGTTGGGGTCAACTTCATTTTAACTCAGTCAATCCACAAAGTTAATTAAAATACAATACATGAATAGAGATTTATTCACATGTTGGGTCTCCTTGCCGACGGGCTGTCCTCGAGGTGACGAGGGGGCGTTTCTGATTCTGCTGAAACGACCTCTGTGTTTGGAGGGGGACACTGTCGTGACCGGGACGGGTAGAGGAACAGGGGCGAAGAGGACACCACTCTCCAGATCTTCCTTCTCTTCCTCCTCTTCCTCCTCGTCGTCTTGCTCACTGAGCTGGTGCAGCAGGGGCTGGGGCCCTCCGTGAAGCAGGTGGGGGAGGTGGTCCTCCTCGATGGAGATAACCCGACGGAGAGGCCACCCGTCTGGGGGACCGTCCAGCCCGTCGCCCCCTACCTCCGGCTTACTCTGGTACTCTGTATGCCTCTCCCTCTCCCTTTCTTCCTGGGTGGGGGCGAGGGTCTTCTCTGACTCGAACTTGGAGATCCTCTCCTTCACCCGCACCCCCCTCATCCCCTGCGCCTCCACCTCAACCACCGTCTCCACCTTCCCATCAGCCACCTGGGTCGGGGACCAGGTGTTGGAGTCGTGGTAGCCGTTGGCCAAGCCGTAGTTGGTTTTCGGCGAACGTGCTGGACAAGCGGCGTCCATATCGTCCTCACTAGATGAGGATGGGGAGGAGACAAAAGAGATTTGAAGGTGTTCTATGGGCAGCGCGTCAAGGAACTCATAGGAACCCCGGGCGAAGAGTGAGGCTCTTTGGAGACAAGAGGAAGAAACAGAGGATGTTGGATCAAAATGAGTGTTTCTGAGTCCCATGTCGCCAAGCATCAAATGAGTCCAAGGCACTTTCATGTTAGTCTCTCGTTACAGACCATTATCATTAAATGGTAACTCAAATTGATTCTGGGTGCTGCTATTACTTTCAAGAGCAGCCCAGCAGCCTCTCCATTTCAAATATATCCTTAATATATTATAATGAAAATACACTCCTTATGCTGTAAAGTACCTTACATTAAATTGACCAATTGGGTGCCTTGGACTCAACAACACTTTTTTTGATTTCACATCCTCCGTATCTCCTCTTTAATCCAATGTTGATTTAAATCACGTTACTGACGGCCATAAAATAAAATCATTATCCTGTCACACATGACAAGACTGGTTGATTATGTTCAGGGCACTTCTAAAGGAAATGACCTCACCTTTTAACCGGCTGCTGGCTGGTGTCTGCAAACAGATTGACCAAACTTGCTCTCTGCTTCTGCTTCTGTTTGAGGGAGTTCCTGGGGTTCTGTAGAGCAAAGAGGATACAATAGACTGAAATAGAATAAATCAATATAATTGTCAATGTCCACAATATCACCACAAAGGAAACAGTCAAACATCAAGATTCGAGAACTCACCACAGCACAGCATATGTCTCGCTCGTCTTTTAAATGTTTGTTCATCTCTCTGGATAGAAAACAGAAAACAATATAAACTGTCAAATTCATGTATAACAGGAATACTGTGTGCGTGCGTCCGTGCCTAGGTGTGTGTGTGTAACTTACCTGAGAAGGTCTAGTTGTTTCATCAGGCTCTGTTTCTCTCTCTGTAGTCCCTCAGTGACTCGGTACATTTCCCTGAGCAGAGAGAGACACAGTCACCAAAGCTCACTGAACCACACCTAGACAGTAATCTAGTGAATAGTACCTGTACTAGGAGTGACATGCCATAGCCACTGATGGAATGTTTGTGGAAGTGCGATGCCTAGGCGAGTGAGTGTGAGTGTGTTTGTTTTTGTATTTGGTCATTATAGCTAGTGGTAATATTAACCCACATCTCTCTCTCCTGGTGCAGGCGGGCAGCCTGGTCCTGCAGCATGGTCATTTGTTCCTGGGCCAGGGACAGTTCCTGACAGGTGCTCTCCAGCTCTCTGCTAAGCTCTTCGTTGGTCATCTTCAGCTTGACGTTCTCCACCTGGTTCTCCTGCTGCTCACTGCTCAGGTCGCGACACTGGAGCTCCAACTGGGGGGTCAAAGGGCAACATTGTTAGGGAGTCATGACGGGGGGCATCTCAACAGACAAAAGTAACTTCCTCTCCTTCTATTCTGTTCTATTCTGTTCTGTTCTGTTCTATTCTGTTCTGTTCTATTCTGTTCTGTTCTGTTTCTATTCTGTTCTATTCTGTTCTGTTCTGTTCTATTCTGTTCTATTCTGTTCTGTTCTGTTCTATTCTATTCTGTTCTGTTCTGTTCTAGTCACATCTTTGTCTTCTCTCCTTTTTCTGCACTGAAAATACACAAAGACTGAAATCATGCTGGGGGATAAACCCTGCAGGAGATCAGAGGTGGCCAACCCTCCTCCTGGAGAGTTACAGGAGATCAGAGGTGGCCAACCCTCCTCCTGGAGAGTTACAGGAGATCAGAGGTGGCCAACCCTCCTCCTGGAGAGTTACAGGAGATCAGAGGTGGCCAACCCTCCTCCTGGAGAGTTACAGGAGAGGAGGCACCTCAGTCACTCACCCTCCTCTGTTTCTGGAAGAGCTGCTCCAGCTCTCTCTCCTTACTGGACAGCTGGTGCTCCAGGTCGTGACTACGAGACTGGAGACGCTCCGAGTCCTGATGGAGACCAGAGGAGAGACAGGGACAGAACATTAGGATAGGAGAAATTAAACAACAGGAATACAGTACAATACAACTATATTGAGTCAATTGAGTGCCTTGCTCAAGGGTATACAGTAGGTATGGTTCCGGTAGATGTGTTTAGAGGCTCAAGGGTATACAGTAGGTATGGTTCCGGTAGATGTGTTTAGAGGCTCAAGGGTATACAGTAGGTATGGTTCCGGTAGATGTGTTTAGAGGCTCAAGGGTATACAGTAGGTATGGTTCTGGTAGTTGTGTTTAGAGGCTCAAGGGTATACAGTAGGTATGGTTCTGGTAGTTGTGTTTAGAGGCTCAAGGGTATACAGTAGCTAGGGTTCTGGTAGTTGTGTTTAGAGGCTCAAGGGTATACAGTAGGTATGGTTCCGGTAGATGTGTTTAGAGTTTGGTGTTAAGAGACAGGTCTTGGAGAGGGTCACAAGTCATTTAAACTAACTTATGAACTATATGTACCTGGAGGAGCAGCCGTTCCTGCTCACTTTTCATTTGTTGCTCCATTTCTTCATACAGACGGCGGATCTCACTGTCGTGTGTGGCTGCTTTCCTGTATGTATGGGGGAGAATGGATTTAATAACAACTACATAACTACTTAACCAGATGCTGTTTGGAAGTGCTAGGTTTGAGAGTGAGTATAGTTGATTCTGTTTATGTCACAGGTGTGACTAATTGCCCCTGTTAATTCATCAAGCATTCTCATTGGACAATTGACTAATTAACAGAACAGTTAGCATGTATGTAAACCCTGTTTCTTCCTGTGTTCTAGGCAGCTGCCCACAGGAGGTGATGTAGTTCAGAAGTATGGTGGTTCATGGGTGTGATGGGTGTGATGGGTGTGATGGGTGTGATGGTGTGATGGGTGTGATGGGTGTGATGGGTGGATGGATGCCTACCTACCTACCTACCTGCCTGCCTGCCTCATGTGATTTTTGTTTCCTCTGTGTTTTTGGTATGTTGCATAGTTTGTGAATATGTTCCTGGGCCAGAGATGAGCCACGCTGAAAAGGTGAACTTGTGAAACCGTGCCTTAATTTACTAAATGTTTGAAAACATATTTTTGTTGTCTGCCTCTACTTTACTCTGGCTGCTCAACCCAGATCCAAAGAACTGGTCACATTGTTTTCACCACGTGACATTTACTTTAGTCTACTGCAAAGGAATGCAAATGCCAAGAGCAGTGTTTTTCCATCTGTAGCTCCACAGACCGGTGCACACGCACCAGTATACTGTCTGGGTAGATACAGATGGAAAAACTCTGCTCTTGGCATTTGCATTCCTTTAACATTCGGACACCTTATTAAGCAAACAATTAGTAAGAGGACTCAAGTTGTCTTAAGCGGTACCATGGGAACAATGCATACTATTAGTATTACAGAACACAACAGGGACCACAGCAATACAAATACCCACCCGACTATTCATTGTCTATCGTCAAAGGTAGTATAGTACACATTGTTTCGGGGGAGAACAATACATTATCTAATGTCTGCCTACATGGCAGCCAATTTCTCAGGCTTGCAATCAATGCGTTATGGACCCTTCTTTCAAAAGTTCCCTTCTGAGAATCTGATCCCTGAGCTTAGTGGTCATTTGAAAGGGATAAGGGGGGCATTCTATATAGCATTATGGTAAACCCACACAGAGCTCCGTGTCTAATCAAATTTTATTTGTCACATGCACCCAATACAACCGGTGTAGACCTTACAATGAAATGCTTACTTACAAGCCCTTAACCAACAATTTAGTTTTAAGAAAAGTGTTAAATGAAAATAAATCATTAAAGAGCAGCAGTAAAATAACAGCAGCGAGGCTATATACAGAGGGTACCGGTACAGAGTCAATGTGCGGGGGCACAGGTTAGTCCAGGTAATATGTACATGTAGAGTTAAATTGACTATGCATAGATAACAGAGTAGCAGCAGCGTAAAAGAGGGGATGGGTGGGGGGACAATACAAATAGGTCGGGTAGCCATTTGATTAGCTGTTCAGGAGTCTTATGGCTTGGGGGTAGAAGATGTTAAGAAGCCTTTTGGACCTAGACTTGGTGCTCCAGTACCACTTGCCGTGCGGTAGCAGAGAGAACAATCTGTGGCTGGAGTCTTTGACAATTTTTAGGGCCTTCCTCTGACACCCCCTGGTATAGAGCTCCTGGATGGCAAGAAGCTTGGCCCCAGTGATGTTCCTTTTGTCCAGGTGGGAAAGGGCAGTGTGGAGCGCAATAGAGATTGCATCATCTGTGGATCTGTTGGGGCGGTATGCAAATTGGAGGGGGTCTAGGGTTTCTGGGATAATGGTGTTGATGTGAGCCATGACCAGCCTTTCAAAGCACTTCATGGCTACAGACGTGAGTGCTACGGATCTGTAGTCATTTAGGCAGGTTACCTTAGTGTTCTTGGGCACAGGGACATTATTATTACAGACTCAGTGGGCACAGGGACACAGGTATTACAGACCCAGTCAGGGACAGGTTGAAAATGTCAGTGAAGACACTTGCCAGTTGGTCAGCGCATTCTCGGAGTGCACGTCCTGGTAATCCGTCTGGTCCTGCGGCCTTGTTAACCTGTTTAAAGGTCTTACTCACATCGGCTACGGAGAGTGTGATCACACAGTCGTCCGGAACAGCTGATGCTCTCATGCATGCTTCAGTGTTGCTTGCCTCGAAGCGAGCATAGAAGTAATTTAGGTCATCTGGTAGGCTCGTGTCACTGGGCAGCTCGCGACTGTGCTTCCCTTTGTAGTCTGTAATAGTTTGCAAGCCCTGCCACATCCGACGAGCATCGGAGCCGGTGTAGTACGAATCAATCTTAGTCCTGTATTGACGCTTTGCCTGTTTGATGGTTTGTCGGAAGGCATAGCGGGATTTCTTATAAGCGTCTGGGTTAGAGTCCCGCTCCTTGAAAGTGGCAGCTCTACCCTTTAGCTCAGTGCGGATGTTGCCTGTAATCCATGACTTCTGGTTGGGATATGTATGTACGGTCACTGTGGGGAAGACATCATCGATGCACTTATTGATGAAGCCAGTGACTGATGTGGTGTACTCCTCTGAAGAATCCCGGAACATATTCCAGTCTGTGCTAGCAAAACAGTGCTGTAGCTTAGCATCTGCGTCATCTGACCACTTCTTTATTGACCGAGTCACTGGTGCTTCCTGCTTTAGTTTTTGCTTGTAAGCAGGAATCAGGAGGATATAATTATGGTCAGATTTGCCAAATGGAGGGCGAGGGAGAGCTTTGTACGCGTCTCTGTGTGTGGAGTAAAGGTGGTCTAGAGTTTTTTTTTCCTCTGGTTGCACATTTAACATGCTGGTAGAAATTAGGTTTCCCTGCATTAAAGTCCCCGGCCAATAGGAGCGCTGCCTCTGGATGAGCGTTTTCCTGTTTGCTTATGGCCATTGAGTGAGGTTATAGTGCCAGCATCGGTTTGTGGTGGTAAATAGACAGCTACAAAAAATATAGATGAAAACTCTCTTGGTAAATAGGGTGGTCTACAGCTTATCATGAGATACTCTACCTCAGGCAAGGAAACCTCGAGACATCCTTAATATTAGATTTCGTGCACCAGCTGTTGCTTACAAATATACACAGACCGCCACCCCTTGTCTTACCGGAGGCCACTGTTCTATCTTGCCGATACAGTGTAAACCCCACCAGCTGTATGTTATCCATGTCGTCGTTCAGCCACGACTCGGTGAAACATAAGATATTACAGTTTTTAATGTCCCGTTGGTAGGATATTCGTGATCGTAGCTCGTCTATTTTGTTATCCAATGATTGTACAGTCGTGGTCAAAAGTTTTGAGAATGACACAAATACTAATTTTCACAAAGTCTGCTGCCTCAGTTTTGATGATGGCAATTTACATACAGTGGGGAGAACAAGTATTTGATACACTGCCAATTTTGCAGATTTTCCTACTTACAAAGCATGTAGAGGTCTGTAATTTTTATCATAGGTACACTTCAACTGTGAGAGACGGAATCTAAAACAAAAATCCAGAAAATCAAATTGTATGATTTTTAAGTAATTAATTTGCATTTTATTGCATGACATAAGTATTTGATACATCAGAAAAGCAGAACTTAATATTTGGTACAGAAACCTTTGTTTGCAATTACAGAGATCATACGTTTCCTGTAGGTCTTGACAAGGTTTGCACACACTGCAGCAGGGATTTTGGCCCACTCCTCCATACAGACCTTCTCCAGATCCTTCAGGTTTCGGGGCTGTCGCTGGGCAATACGGACTTTCAGCTTTTCCAAAGATTTTCTATTGGGTTCAGGTCTGGAGACTGGCTAGGCCACTCCAGTACCTTGAGATGCTTCTTACGGAGCCACTCCTTAGTTGCCCTGGCTGTGTGTTTCGGGTCGTTATCATGCTGGAAGACCCAGCCACGACCCATCTTCAATGCTCTTACTGAGGGAAGGAGGTTGTTGGCCAAGATTTCATGATACATGGCCCAATCCATCCTCCCCTCAATACGGTGCAGTCATCCTGTCCCCTTTGCAGAAAAGCATCCCCAAAGAATGATGTTTCCACCTCCATGCTTCACGGTTGGGATGGTGTTCTTGGGGTTGTACTAATCCTTCTTCTTCCTCCAAACACGGCGAGTGGAGTTTAGACCAAAAAGCTCTATTTTTGTCTCATCAGACCACATGACATTCTCCCATTCCTCCTCTGGATCATCCAGATGGTCATTGGCAAACTTCAGACGGGCCTAGACATGCGCTGACTTGAGCAGGGGGACCTTGCGTGCGCTGCAGGATTTTAATCCATGACGGCGTAGTGTGTTACTAATGGTTTTCTTTGAGACTGGGGTCCCAGCTCTCTTCAGGTCATTGACCAGGTCCTGCCGTGTAGTTCTGGGCTGATCCCTCACCTTCCTCATGATCATTGATGCCCCACGAGATGAGATCTTGAATGGAGCCCCAGACCGAGGTTGATTGACCGTCATCTTGAACTTCTTCCATTTTCTAATAATTGCGCCAACAGTTGTTGCTTTCTCACCAAGCTGCTTGCCTATTGTCCTGTAGCCCATCCCAGCCTTGTGCAGGTCTACAATTTTATCCCTGATGTCCTTACACAGCTCTCTGGTCTTGGCCATTGTGGAGAGGTTGGAGTCTGTTTGATTGAGTGTGTGGACAGGTGTCTTTTATACAGGTAACGAGTTCAAACAGGTGCAGTTAATACAGGTAATGAGGGGAGATCAGGAGAGCTTCTTAAAGAAAAACTAACAGGTCTGTGAGAGCCGGAATTCTTACTGGTTGGTAGGTGATCAAATACTTATGTCATGCAATAAAATGCAAATGAATTACTTAAAAATCATACAATGTGATTTTCTGGATTTTTGTTTTAGATTCCGTCTCTCACAGTTGAAGTGAACCTATGATAAAAATTACAGACCTCTACATGCTTTGTAAGTAGGAAAACCTGCAAAATCGGCAGTGTATCAAATACTTGTTCTCCCCACTGTATACTCCAGAATGTCATGAAGAGTGATCAGATGAATTGCAATTAATTGAAAAGTCCCTCTTTGCCATGAAAATGAACTTAATCCCAAAAAACATTTCCACTGCATTTCAGCCCTGCCACAAAAGGACCAGCTGCCATCATGTCAGTGATTATCTCGTTAACACAGGTGAAAGTGTTGATGAGGACAAGACTGGAGATCACTCTGTCATGCTGATTGAGTTAGAATAACAGACTGGAAGCTTTAAAAGGAGGGTGGTGCTTGAAATCATTGTTCTTCCTCTGTTAACCATGGTTACCTGCAAGGAAACACGTGCCGTCATCATTGCTTTGCACAAAAAGGGCTTCAAAGACAAGGATATTGCTGCTAGTAAGATTGCACCTCAATCAACCATTTATCGGATCATCAAGAACTTCAAGAAGATAGGTTCAATTGTTGTGAAGAAGGCATCAGGGCGCCCAAGAAAGTCCAGCAAGCGCCAGGACCGTCTCCTGCAGTTGATTCAGCTGCGGGATCGGGGCACCACCAGTGCAGAGCTTGCTCAGGAATTGCAGTAGGCAGGTGTGAGTGCATCTGCACGCACAGTGAGGCAAAGACTTCTGGAGGATGGCCTGGTGTCAAGAAGGGCAGCAAAGAAGCCACTTCTCTCCAGGAAAAATATCAGAGACAGACTGATATTCTGCAAAAGGTACAGGGATTGGACTGCTGAGGACTGGGGTAAAGTCATTTTCTCTGATGAATCCCCTTTACGATTGTTTGGGGCATCCGGAAAACACCTTGTCCGGAGAAGACAAGGTGAGCGCTACCATCAGTCCTGTGTCATGCCAAAAGTAAAGCATCCTGAGACCATTCATGTGTGGGGTTGCTTGCTTCTCAGCCAAGGGAGTGGGCTCACTCACAATTTTGCCTAAGAACACAGCCATGAATAAAGAATGGTACCAACACATCCTCCGAGAGCAACTTCTCCCAAACATCCAAGAACAGTTTGGTGACGACCAATGCCTTTTCCAACATGATGGAGCACCTTGCCATAAGGCAAAAGTGATAACTAAGTGGCTCGGGGAACAAAACATCAACATTTTGGGTCCATGGCCAGGAAACTCCCCAGACCTTAATCCCATTGAGAACTTGTGGTCGATCCTCAAGAGGCGGGTAGACAAACAAAAACCCACAAATTCTGACAAACTCCAAGCATTGATTATGCAAGAATGGGCTGCCATCAGTCAGGATGTGGCCCAGAAGTTAATTGACAGCATGCCAGGGCGGATTGCAGAGGTCTTGAAAAAGAAGGGTCAACACTGCAAATATTGACTCTTTGCATAAACTAAATGTAATTGTCAATAAAAGCCTTTGACACTTATGGAATGCTTGTAATTATACTTCAGTATACCATAGTAACATCTGACAAAAATATCTCATAACACTGAAGCAGTGAACTTTGTGAAGACCAATACTTGTGTCATTCTCAAAACGTTTGACCACGACTGTATGTTGGCTAATAGGACTGATGGTAGAGGCAGATGACCCACTCGCCGTCGGATCCTTACAAGGCAGCCCGACCTACGTCCCTGATCTCTGTCTCTTTCTCCTGCAAATGACAGGGATTTGGGCCTTGTCGGGTGTCTGAAGTAAATCCTTCACGTCCGACTCGTTAAAGAAAAAATATTTGTCCAGTACGAGGTGAGTAATCGCTGTCCTGATATCCAGAAACTATTTTCGGTCATAAGAGACGGTGGCAGAAACATTATGTACAAATAAGTTACAAATAACACCAAAAAACACACACAATAGCGCAATTGGTAAAACGGCAGCCATCTCCTCCGGTGCCTTTGATTCAGTCTACAGTCTACAGCCACAAGGCAGAAACATAAACGCACATGTTGGCACATGTCACCAGCAGGTTCAACAAATAATATGTAACTTATGTCTGGAGTAGTTGACTTGCTAGAACCTCGCTGCCTTCATTCACTGCAGGCCTATATAAACTATTTGAAGCTATTAACTACTCCGTGCTTTCAACTTTCATGTTGTAAAATGACTCCTTTCGATCGGATAGAATCCTCTGATGAATAAAATGTTATTTGTACCACAATCTGGTACACGAACAGACCTCTATAGCAACATAGACCATAGCCCTATCACATGGGTGGGAACAGAACAAGCTATCGTCAGTTCTTTGAATCAATGACCGCAGTTCGAACCTAATAACCACACTATGACGAGCTGCAATCAAGAAACCGTAGAAATATTGGACATTCATTTACAAGGCCGCAAGCTGTTTGTATTGTGGTTTGAATGGCTGTGGTTGCAGTCCACTAAACAGTCACAGTGAAGATATCACACATACTGATCACATAATCATGCCTAAATGCCAAAGTTTCCCAGACACAGATCAAGCCTTGTCCTGGACTAAAAAGCACTTTTAAAAGAGATTCTCCCATGCTTTGCAGTCTGGGACTAGGCTTCATCTGTGTCTGGGGAAACTGGCCCAGGGAGTAGCAGAGACAACAGAGAGGAGGTATTTGTTAGTAGTATTTGTGGTCTCCAACCTCTGCAGGGCACTCTCCATCTCCCTCCTCTCATCTTTGGCCTCTTTGATCTGGAAGGTGACTCTGGCCAGGAACTCCTCAAAGTTGGACAAGAGGTGAGGCTCGTCCCTCCTCAGCTGGGCCCACAAGCTGCGCACTTCGCCTGGACTGGAGGAGAGGGAGACAGGCAGACAGAGAGCGACAGAGGGTAAGAGTTCTGATAAAACTCTACAGTATATCCTCCAAACACCGGCTTCGAGGGCATTATCACTTTATACAACGGGTTACCAACATATTCAAATAATGACTGACATATTTTCATGAACGTCATTTTGATTAATTTATTCATAACATTTCATCCTTCCACGAGATATAGTCCCGACACAAATCTAAGGTTGCTACCCAAGCCGGCTGGTTGTTCGTTCTATCGGTTCGGTTGCCAGAGATGCGACCCAGTCGTTAAGTATTTTTGTTCTGTATCTATGAACGCGAGTTGCTTGCTAGTTAGCCAACTATGGCTAACTTAGTCACGTCAAACAGTGCAGTCAGAATAACAGCAAAGTAGCTGCATTTGCTTAAGCTGTTTTCTAGTGACATTTATTTGGATACATCCATAACAATGAGCTAATGATGCACGATTTCACCTGGCATAGAAAATGTGCTCTCTCATCAGGAGACTAGCCAACAACACAGCTAACACAATCACTTTAAACTGAAGCTGGAAAGACTGCAAACTAGCTGTATTTCGTTTCATTTGATCTGTTATCTATTGACATTTCTTTGTATATATCCATAAAAATGATGCCAGTGATTCATGATTTCGACTGGCTGAGAAAAGCTGTCTGCCTGTCTGTCTCATCCCCACACTTTCATTACTATGGGACAGCTGGAGATTGAATTTCAATATTGAAACAATGTTGCAAATGTTGGAGAGACAGACAGCAAGGTTTATACAAATCTCCGCTGTTGAAAACCAAATGCTAGTCTAAAAGAAATGGGAGATAATGTCTAGATGATTTTTATAGTGGAGATCAAGTTTATAAATTGCCTGGCTGGGCTGATGAGACAGTGCAGTGCGCATAGAGATGGAACAGAGTAAATAGGCATTTCAACGTCATAGATTTACCCGGTGGTAACTTGTGGAATAGACTCTGGCTGGAATGCAGTTGAAACTAATCAGCATCCAGGATTAGACCCACCCGTTGTATAATATGTAATAATGTGAGGTGGGGTTAACTCCACTCACTCCTGGAATACATTGCTGGCCCCTAGGCTCTCCAGCAGCATACAGAAGTGACTCTCCTCGTCATCCTCCCCCCCTCCAGTTAACCTCTCGTCCCATTGGCTCTGGTATAGGGCTTCTGAGGGCTTCCTCGAAGTGGGGAGAGCGGGTACTGCGTCCTCGGCTACAGAGATCCTTCGGCCGTGCAGGAACTGACCTGGGGACAGACCAGGATGCAGGAAGCATAAGCATCACCAGCAAGATGACGTAACATCAGTTTGAATTACAAATCAGGGGGTGTTTTGTTTTTGAAAGTGCCCAGCACTCTCAATTATCAAGTTGTGAAAAGAGGCTATCAAGTTTTTAAGTTTGTTTGATTTGTAAGTGCATTTTATACAGAGTACAACCTATCCTTTACAACCTATCCTTACCTGGGTGAGCATCTACTCCCTGCCAGCTAGGTGATAAATTCATCTATACCTTGTCTTTGTCACATTTGAATGTGGTCCCTCACTACATTGATCTCAAAACATAAGTTATTGAACCAACAGTAAACCATGAGATATACAGCAGATTGCCCCTTGGGGAGTCTAATTTAATTTAATTGAAATTGAATGTAGATAAAGAGGAAACAGGGAACTCACTGAATCCTGATGAGAACACTTCAAGGGTGAGGTAGCCGTTCTGGTCAGTATCCAGGGAGTCAAAGACATTCTCCAGTTCCTCAGCACTGAGGGGTAGTTCTCTGTGAAGCCTCTGTGGAACACACATACAAGAAATAAGGTTGTTTCTTCTGCTAAAGATGTAACACCACACAAGCCCAAGATTCCATGCTTCCCTCCAAAGAGAAAGATATTCAGCTCAGTAGCATTGAATGTGTCTACTACAGCTGTAATAAATGTCACCCTGACCTTGTCCTGCCTCTCTGAATAGAAATGTGTCAAGGAAAACATGCAAAAGAATGCCATTGAATAGAAAATAGGATGATTAACTGAGTTTACAACATTATTGTGGATTTTCATTTTGTCAGTGCCAGTGGTGTGGTCAATACTAGACCTGATTGCAAAAAGGGACGGGAGAATATTGGAACAGGAGGTGTAGGCCATATGATCGTATTCATTAATAGGTATTTACATTTGACATTATTCTTAGATAATGGACACGTCAACACTACAATTTTCTAGGTGATTCTTCTGTTTGCCTTTTTAAGCCTTTCCTATAAAATGTGCAAAACACTATCCCCTCTAAACCCAGACAACAACAAAAGCCGGCGCTTGTTCATTTCAAAACAGTGCTTGAGTGAAATACAAAAATAGTATGTGTATGTGTGTGCACACGTATTTCTGATGGACATCCATTCAGTCTTCCTGAACACAGTGAACAAAGGTGCCGTGCTAGTGAGTGGCTGATTCAGTGAGTGGGTGTAGAGGTTCTCCACATGAAAACCTCTGAATGGTCAATGAGGTAGAGAGGAGAGCCATAGCCAAAGTCACACTGTCCTCTGGTTATCTCATGGTTGTGGCCCTACTCCGATTGTTTGTGAGAGACAGCATCATCACCCCAACCCATAAAATGAACTTGTTTCAACTCATTTTAGTTGTTTGTGTGTGTGTGTGACTGACTGACTATCTGTTCAGAATCAAATCAGTGACTTCCCACTGGGCACAGACGTCAGTTCAACGCCTAGTTTTGATTTACATTTGGTTCAGTTGTCAACTAACGTGAATTCAACAAAAAATGTCACCATGTCATTGGATTAAGGTTAAACATTGGGTGAAAAAATTACGACATTCTCTTACGTTGATGACTTTTTTCAAATCCAATCAGTTTTCCACATTGATTCAACGTCATCACATTTAATGTTTTGGTTGAAATGATATGGAAACAACATTGATTCAATCAGTTTGTGCCCAGTGGGTTTTGACATAATTCCCAACAAGACTTATTGTCCTTCAGTCAAAATGATTATCTAAGCATGGCTGCATCAATGGGATAGACATATATGTCCATTACATCTAAGACTATAACTATAAGTGTAAAACTGAGGCAAAACAAGACCCCCATCGCCCCCCTCCTCTAACCCTCATATCGGTGCGTGTGATGAAGCCTTTGCCCTCCACATCGCAGGTCTGGAAGAACTCTTTGGTCTTATCCAGCATGGCGATGCTTCCCCAGTCAGAACCCCTCCTCATGGGGACAGCTCCTCCTTTGCCCTTGGCCTCAGACTCCTCCATATCACTAGATATACTTCTGCAGAGTATTCTGGTGGCTCTGAACAAGGTCGAATCAGACATGGCTGTTTCACTCCTCGGCCTGGCCGGTTGGGGTCATGGTGAGCGATGAGACCAGACACCACAAGTCAGTAGTGATGAGGCCACAGAGACTGTCTAGGAGTTTTCATATCTCAGTAAATGGTCTGTGTAGTGTTCATATCTCAGTAAATGGTTTGTCTTGTTCCCAGGTTCCTGGGAAGAATAAAAAGGAAAGACATTAGAATATAGCCTGAAATCTGATGTGTTTGAAAAGTGGGTACATGAAGACCATGATGAATACAGAGAGCATCACAATGTAATGTTTCCTTTTTAGATTTATACGCTCTCATAAGACACAGTTTGGCTGCGTTTAGACAGGCAGCCCAATTCTGATATTTTTTCCACTGATTGGTTTTTCAACCAATCACAGCAGATCTTTTCACATCAGCTCTTTTTCAGAGCTGATCTGATTGGTCAAAAGACCAATTAGTGAAAGAAATATCAGAATTGGGCTGCCTGTCTAAAAGCAGCTTTTGAGATGTACGTCATGTTGGTAGTGTGTTGTAGGCTAGTAATGAATGAAAGGCAGAACTCTTTCTGTGATGTAAGTCTCTTATCTATGTGAAAAATAACAGGAAAGGAGCTAGTGTTACTATTGAGTAACAACTATGATCAGAAAAGATCGGTCTTGAGCCACTTGTCAGCAGGCGCATAGTCCTCGGGGTATAAATTCCCTTTTTCATAAGCTGAGACTTTCAACCTAGCTAACATGCTGGGAAGTATGTAAACATAACGGCTTATCTTAATACCCAAGCATACAATCCTCATGACTATATTAATTCCTGCATACCATACACTACAGTCTAGACATCGTGAATAAAAACCACTCAATGCAATTCTCTTCAGGTTTGGGAACTCTGAATATTAGCAGTTGGTAGGCTTACTGTATCTTCTAAACACAAAAGTATTTCAGCCTGTGCTCAAGAGAGTAACATCCTTGTGCTGATATCAATCTATTGCTAATCCGCACCTTGAGCACTATGTTTTTGATTACATTGTAAAGCAGGCCTACAGTTCACCACAACAAATTGTGGGGGAGGAAGTGGTTTTAGGGGATAGGGCTTCTGTTGAAATGGCTAACATTAGGTGTGGGCGACAGCATCATGGGCTCCATATCAAAACCTATCAGCCTTGAACTAATGAGGTCTGTATAGTAGCAGTTTTAGTTAAGGTTGAAAAAAAACATGACATACTCTGTAGGTGTTGACTAATGTGGGTAACATTATTCACAAATGAATACATACCATACGAAAAGTAACATATCACACTAAATGAAGTGTCTCGGATTTACATACAGAATAATACGAAACGCTCTGAGACCGGGTTGGTAGCCTATCATATTCCAAAACACTCTGTAATCCACTATGGGACCAGGATTTCCAACTGCCTTTTACTCACTCAGCCAGACCAAGAAAGTATGTAGCATCCCATTTAGAAGGAAATGTCAGTTTGGTTAGTTATCATTAGAAGGAGCATATGCAACATACATTTAAACAGTAGCATATATG